AAACAAACGATGTAAGACCATAGTGCAAACATCAAAAAAGGAAACAGGCAAAAAAAAACGAAAAATAAAACAAAAAAACACTATGAAACCCTAACACAAAGACACTGTCCGAGTCAAAATGAAGCGTCCAACGAATTCAACAAAATGCCAACTTTTTCATTATTGATCCAAACATGTCAAAACTGCACACATGACGTACCCTAAAGCACATATATATCACACAAAAAGAAAAACAAGAAAAAAAGCAAAAAATCAGCACAATATGACAGTTTCAGTGCAATTCGGTGCAAAATTTGTCGAAAATAACACCCCTGGTTAACAACGTGTGAGCCCCATTGCCATGAGGAACCACATCTCCCCCGTCGTATGGCAAGCAAGTCCATCAAAGCCCCACAAATCCTACCACTCTCATCAAGCATCCTGCCCCAAATTTGGCCAACTATGCACCCATATTCGTGTAGCAGCAGACAGCACCAGAAGGCACATGCGAGTCAGCACTCAAAAACCTCTCGAGGCTGTCAATCATACCGAAAACAACTAAGGCAACAAGGGTTTCATCAAAAAGGTGTATCAATTTTAACCCACGGTTGAGGGGAAGCCAGAGACAAGCAATGGAGAAGTGGCAGAAGGCAACAGAGTGCAAGGTTAAACTGAATGATGAGGATGCCGGTGATAAACAGGAGGGAGAAGAGATGCAGCATCTCCAGCCCGAAGTCCTGTTGATTTTTGTAGTGAGAGGCAGAGACACATAACACATGCATCCAGCAGGGGTTAACTTTTCGAGAGAAGGGACATGGGGGGGAACCAACAGCCACATCACCACAGAGATCGCCACAACCGACAGGCATGTTCATCCATTGATCACGGTGACAAGGTAACAGATGGACAACAAAGCAATCACACTACACTGACTACAGGGCACCAACAGCATCTTGCAGAGATTGTATACTGCAATGAGGATAAAACAGCACAAACCTCACGACTCTTTCCCCACTGGTCTGCGTGTCCACTCGTTTGATCCCGGTGAAGAGGTAAGACGTGGACAGCGAAGCATTCAAACTATAAGGCGCCTACAGCAACTCACTGCGGACTAGAAACGAGGAAGACAAAACAAGTAGTTAGATCAGGCGAGAAACTACCACGATGAAAAAATTGGGTAGACGCACGTAGTGCTGAAGAGGTATTTAAGTGTTCAGGAGTAGGCTCTAATTCAGACTAACTAGTTGAGGTAGGTGGTCTGTAGTCAGGCGGGAAACTACCACGATGCAACTGGGTAGATGCACGTAGTGCTGAAGATGTATTTAACTGCTCGACGGTGATGTGCTGAGAGTAAAACCTCTGGCTACATCATTAATCTTTCGAGTTTTCACTCTTTTCCACTCAAACCTCCGGCTACATTATTAATCTTTTGAGTTTTCACTCTTTTTCGGGCTTGCTCCATGTTGGACGTGTGGACCTGTCTCTTATACACATCTAGATGTGTATAAGAGACAGCATTCACTCTTCCCCTTAAAACCTCTGGCTACATCATTAATCTTTCGAGTTTTCACTCTTTTCCACTCAAACCTCCGGCTACATTATTAATCTTTTGAGTTTTCACTCTTTTTCACTCATTCACTCTTCCCCACTAGCCTATCCAGTTCTCGCATGCACAACACCCCAATCACGCCGTGCCATCTTCCCCGTAGCGCCATTCTTGATCAATTGTCAGGTCCTCAGCCGCACAGAAAGGCAAAACACGCCTGGCAGGGGATCAACACAAGGAAGGCAAAACAAGTAGATCCAACCAAACACCCCCCGAAGTGACATAACGTAGCCACGGGGGATGAGAACGTGCGCTGGGGTTCCCCACTAGCCTATCCCAGATCTCGCATGCACAACAACCCAATCACACCGTGCTGGCTTCCCCATAGCGCCATCCTTGATCAATCATCAGGTCGTCAGTCACACAGAAAGGAAAAAAAGAACGGGCAGGGGACCAAGAAGACTATACCCTGTTAGCACACACAAGATGAGCGCAGGCATAAACTCAGCCAAGAGTGTTTTTCCCCAGAAACTGAAAAAAGCCACTGAAAGCATACAGAGAAGTGTGACCCAAGGTTTTCAGACAGGTAAGCAGATAATTCCTCCACCCCTGCTCTCTCATGGAGGGCGAGCAAACCCATTCGAGCCGAGCTCCCTTCGGCGAGGTGCAGAAAACCATCAACATAGTCACCGTGCTGTTCTCTGCTGGCACCACCTGACGGGTTAGCGAACAAGGATTCCTCCACCTGTACTGGCTCATCGAGAGTGACTGATGCCAGCACCGAGCTTAATTGATTCCCATGCAGCAATTTGTATGCAGGGCCGATGCTCTTGAAGTGCCCCGAGTCCCTGGGGAGCGCGCCTCCCCCAGAACCTTCAGAAGTGTCGTGTAGCAAGCTCACATGGGCGGCATCAATACGGCTGAGCTGGACATCCTGACGAGGGCACTGTCGATGCGAACAATTAGTTAGGCTGACCCATCCAATGGGTTGTAGGCCGACGACTTGTTGCCGTGCTGACGGCACGTCACCTCTGCAGTACGGTGGTGCTAGTCGAAGGACACCCCACTGTGCCTGAAGCCAACTCCACATACGTGAGGCTCACCAGAGTCATGTTGCCCACGGCTGAAACGGCCTGCCCACCTCTTTAAGTGTAGCATAAGCAAATGCCAGCGTTACCTGCGATCTGGAGGTCACCAAGTCGACTCCCAGCCGGAAGTGTCTCCTCCCGTAGGCGTGCCTGACTCGAAAGGAGGTCTTGTAAAGCAGCAAGGAAGGCGGCCCCAATTCGTGCAAGCGACAGAGCGAAGGCAGATTGTAGCACTCCCACCAGAACATAGCACTTCACGAATTTGGTAAGGATGGGGACAGCATACGCCGCATCCCGCAGCTCAGATTCCAGCATATGCAGGTCTGCTTCGAGGGCACCAACGAGGTGAACACCCCACAATTGATCCACAGTTATCCGATCAGAATACTGAGAGGCCGCATGTACCATACGCTCGAGCAGGTCACAACGAAGCATCAGTGTACTCTCCTCCGAGCTTGGCAGATTGAACGGATCCGCCAGCGGCGGCAGAGCAGAGTCGTCGCCACTCGGCAACATCGTCACACCTGCTGAGCAACAAGAGGACCGCAGCTCAGATTCCAGCATATGCAGGTCTGCTTCGAGGGCACCAACGAGGTGAACAACCCACAGTTGATCCACAGTCATCTGATCAGAATACTGACAGGCCTCGTGTACCATACGCTCGAGCAGGTCATGGTGAAGCATCAGTTTACTCTCCTCCGAGCTTGGCAGATCGAACGGATCCACCAGCGGCAGCAGAGCAGAGTCATCCCCACTCGGCAACATCACCACACCTGCTGAGCAACAAGAGGCAATCTCCGTCCCCACTCGGCAACATCACCACACCTGCTGAGCAACAAGAGGCAATCTCTGCGTATGCTACACTATGCCCTTCACCAGTCTCTGCATTCACCGTGAGACTGGAAACATTCCTTATCCTTACCTCCACTCGAGCAGCTAGAACTTCTCCAGAGCTGGGCAGACTGCACCGCACCACGCCAACCTTCCGGGTGGCTATGGCGCGGGAGGCTCTAGCCTGCCACGATGGCAAACCCTAACACCGTCTTCGTCACTCAACGACAATGTCGTCAGTCAGTCAAGGTCGTTTTGATTTTTTTTGTCTGGCGAGCAAGAGATCAGGGACTCGAATCGAGACGTATTTTCTACCTTGAAAGGAAAAAGCGGCAGCAGGGAAGAGCTCATGTAGCAGGTCACTGTCATGAATCTCAAAAGTGTTTTTTGTCCTGTCATGAATCTCAAAAGTGTTTTTTGTCCTTTCTTGACTTTCATTTTCGATTCAAGCGGTGGGTTTGTTGGTTTATGGCCTTCCATTTCAGGCCATGTTCACACAACGGCATTCCTGGATAGATCTGACTGTTCTTACGGCCAATCATACATGTAGCTGGACATTAAAAAAAAAAAAAAAAAGCTGAACATAACAACGTCCAGATCGGCTGACAACTTGACACCTGTATCGAGGGGATAAGGTTTTTGTTGTTCAACCATTTTAGTGCTTTGATTTTTGTCGTTTTCCCATTCGCCATCTTCATGCTTTGTACTTTCGTGAAATCTCTCTTTCATTTGTTGTGCTCTTGCATCTTTTCATTTGCCGTCCGCACGGTTTTCGGGTTGTGCACAGTATGCTGAACCCGAGTTGAATTGAGTAGAGGGCCAGAGACTTTCGAATCAATGGAACACAGGCCATGAGCTGAAATTGCAGGGGAATCCAATATCTGGGGCTACTAGTACACAGTGGAAACGGATTCCCAAAGAAAAACGAGGAAAAGGGAAAGGGCTACCAACACACTGGAGCTCTCTCTCATGGGGTTGCAAATTTCTTTGGTCCTCCCTCTATGGGGAGCGTCGTAGGGGGTATACCCGAGCTGTGCCTGCATAGCATATCACATGTGCCCCGGACTGTGCCACCTGGCTGACGTTTCATCGCCCACAGACACCACATTTTGCCACCCAGCCAATCTAATACCAATCAACATTGTAGGACCCAACCCACACAGCACCCAGGGCATGGTACCCCCCAACCCACTTCGTATTGCCCATGCCGCATAACACACCGCCCAGCCCTGACAGTGATGCGGAATGCTCTTTTCCTTGCGAGAACAGAGGAACACGAGAGGGGTGTCTCGGACGGCCGTGTTCACACATGCAAAAGAGAGAGAGAGAGAGAGAGAGAGAGAGAGAGAGAGAGAGAGAGAGAGAGAGAGAGAGAGAGAGAGAGAGAGTCTATGCTTACTCCGTCCATGAGATCCTCCCTCCCTCCCTCCCTCTCCCTCGTTATGCCTTCATCTCTGTTGCTTACTGTCCATATGATCCTCCCTCCCTCTCGCCCCTTCGAAATGGTTCTCTCTCTCTCTCTCTCTCTCTCTCTCTCTCTCTCTCTCTCTCTCTCTCTCTCTCTGTGTGTGTGTGTGTGCTTCTCCTCTTTTCACCCACCCCCTCCCTTCCCCGAGGCCTGAGGGCAAGCCCCCATTCTGCCTGCTGCTACACTCTCCTTCCCCCTTACCAGCAGCATGGACAACACAAAGCTTTCACTCCAGAGGAATGTAGAGTGGAGTTGTTCACAAGCAAGTGAAGAGGAGCAAGAAGCACATACCACGATACTAAGTATGGGAAGACAATGTCAGGGCCTGAGGCCATCAAGAAATTCCATGGCAGAAGGATCTTTCATCCAATGGTCCACTACAAAATGAATGCAGTGTTGCCTTCAGCAGGCTTGAAAACAATAGGATCATAAGATTCATAACAGACGGTTAAACATTTAACAAAAGAAGGGCAAAAAAGAATGGACAAAGAACGAGTTGATAATCTCAACATCTTGTAGAGAAAAAATAAGAAAAAAATGCAAGCTCACAAGCTTTTCATAAATTCAAAATAACATCTAAACGTGGTAAGGCATTATTCATCAACAAGACTACAACCAATTTTTCTACCACATGATGACAACTAATAGTGGCTATGATTTTCAAGTCCTGGACACCAACCCAACCCACCACCTCTATCGCAAACTTCATCCCACGGAGGCTTTCTCCCTTGTCATCCTTCTTTCTAGCCGTCTACAGGACTTGAACAGACATGCTGTCCGCAATCTGGACGTGCATTGCCTCTTTTTCCCTGTGCAGTGTCGATTACAGATACAACTGCTGCATGTCTGAGGGGATTGAAGCAATTCCCGTGTAAATCGCTGCACGTTCTTATGCATTCTTGTCAAACGCCTTCCACAAAAAAATCACCCTAGTGTCTGAAACATTCTACAAGTAAACCCCCTCCGGCCAGCAACTTTCCCTCTGCAGCTCCGCGAAATAGACAAGAACAGCAAAAACAGCCGCCACAGTCGTTTGGCATCATCCATTCCATCCGCTGGATGTAATAATACACCATAACCCAACAACGGTCCTAAAATGTCCACCTGAACCAGATTGGTCTGGACCAGGGGAAGCTCATTCATGTCCTCATCCTTGGGGTTACATACCTGGCCGTCTGTTGCTTCGCCAAATTAGGACGTTGCTTCTTACCTAACCGTCTGCTGCTTTGCCAAATTAGGACGTTACTTATTTCCTCGGGAACATCAGTAATGTAGCATATAGTATTTTAAAGGTCTGAAGTCTGAGCCCAGTCACATTCTGTCTGCTCCAGAGTTTCACACTCAGAATAATGAAATGTGGAATCGCCATGCAAGAAATCATCCAGCTTTGCATGTTCATCAGGGAGCTTGGTAAAATCGGAACATCGTTGATTTCCTCGTGGCTAGTCTGAGCCCACTCACATTCTGTCTGCTCCACAGCCGTGTGTGAAACTTGCAATGAAAGAAGTAATCCAGATTTCCACATTCATCAGGAAGCAACCATAAGGCAAACGTACTCTGAATCATGGAGCGGAACCTGCCCACCTGCCCAGTGGCCCACCGGCCCACCGGCCCACCGGCCCAAGGAGTCTTCGCCCTCCATCCTCGTTTGCGACTTCTGTTCTTCACTGTTCCTCTCCGCATCCCATGGCTTAACGACCTCGGTGACCGTATTGCCTTTCAAAAAGCCCACAGCACAGGACACCGCTCCTGCCATACTATTGACAATTATAGACAATCGGTGACAGGAACAGCGACGTACTCATCAATCTTCTGTCTCACCACCAACACTTTCAAGCCCAGAATGATTATATCATTGTCTGGCCATCACACTCTTCTGTCAGGCACACCTACCCATCCAGATGGTTCCAAGTACACAATTTACACCCAGTCTTTAATGTCCTCACCGTTTTCGTGAATCTTCGTCTGCCTCTCCATGACAAATTGCCAAGATCGGGAGAACCCAAGGGCGCTCGAACTGTGCTCCCTGACTCCCTTTCAATTGGCTGTAGGAGAATCACGGGTGCTGACACATAAGCATCAAGTTTATAGCTGATCCGCATGATCATGTCCCCTCTCTCCAGCTGCCTCTCCACCTGAATCTCCCCTGCGTTACTTATTGATGAAGCAGTCAATGGACCGGCTGTGCTTCATAACCCCCTCTTATTTACCCATAGCTGACTCAGGTGCTGACACATGTCCACCCAGTCTCGCAGACGCTGCACGCTCGTGTCCTCTCTCTCCATCCGTCTCTCCACCTGAATCTCCCCTGCACTACTTATTGATGAAGCATTCAATGCATCGGCTGTGCTTCATAACCCCTCTTACTTACCCATAGGAGACACAGGTGCTGACACATGTCCACCCAGTCTTGCAGATGCGGCACGCTCGTGTCCTCTATCTCCACCCATATCTCCCTGCATCCCAACTCCATAAAGCATCCGGCCTGGACACATAGTCATCTTGGCAGACATCGGGCGGGCTAGGTTCTGGACCGGACCATTTGTTGATGCAAGCATCATAGGAGAAGGTGAGGAGGTGAATGATGTCGAGGCACTCATCGCAGTGCCCATCATCATCCCCCCTGGCCCACCCGGGAAAACCCCGAGGCCACCCCCAACAATGCTTGACCTTGAAGGGGTGACACCTAAGCTGCTTGTGCCCCCAATGCTCGTTGGGCCCCCAATTTTGTGCTTGACCCTCTGAAGTTCCAGATTGATATCATAAAAGGCAGCGGTGATCATTCGATGCTCTTTCATTGCCATTTCCTTGTTCTCTGCGCGTGCTTTATCAGCAGTTCGTATCTGGTGCTTCAGCTCCTCGACCTTTGCAAAGCATACATCCAGCAGCAACACAATACAGGGGTCAGCGAAGCAGCCCATCCGTTTGACAAGCCGATCTCATGAACACGTTGGGCAATCCCATACAACACATTCCATACAAAACAGGTGTTGAATTCATTGAGAAAAGACAACATGACTCTTAGACCCAGAGAAACGGTGCATCCGTAGAGGAATAAAAATGACGCCTGAATACTGTAAGATTACTGAACCTAGGCATTTGGCCCCCTCCGTAGCCCTCTCATAGTATTCCACGGTTGCTTGCAGATGTTTGAAAAGGCATAACATCGGGATAGGGTCAAAGACTACAAGATTTGACAAAAGGATACTCCCTTGATAAAAAGAAGAGCAGAACAAGGAAACTTCCATTGCCATAAAAGAACAAATCGGGACGAGTGTCAATCTGGTGCTCGGTCTGTGCCCAGACATGAAGGCATCAGTGATGCAATGATTCTGCAATTCACACCTGATTTATTCCACTTCGACACGCATGCACCATCTCACAAGCTCCACAAGAGAAGGCAAAATTCACACGATATGAAGTTATGAACACGCTTGGAAATTATTCGCAAACTCGAAGTCATATACAACAGGTCACTCGAGACTTGGCTGCGGCCACCTTCCACCATCATCAAGCAGGTATGTCTCTCTCTCTCTCTCTCTCTCTCTCTCTCTCTCTCTCTCTCTCTCTCTCTCTCTCTCTCTCTCTCCCCCTCTATATCTCCTGTCTACCCTCAAAAGCCCTTGGAAGGTTTTCAGGACGTCTTACTTTTTCTCCCTAACAGCTATGGCGCTGAGCGCCGTTGACTACCACTAACTTCACTTGCTGCTCTCATCCATGGCCAGGTCGCACAATAACGCAGTACCACTTTCGCCACAGCCCAAATGCTAGACTGTGCTGACACGTGCTGCACCTTGGCCTTCTCTGCTTTCTGCAGTTCCAAAATGAGGCTTGTCGCATCCGATCCTTTCCTTGGCCGTGGCCGGCCTCAACAATAGGGACTGTCATAGAGCATTTCTTGGACTGAGCTGTGACTGACTGGAGACAGCCACTTGGCCCTCACCTAACAGCTGACCGCTACTGACTTCTACAGACTTTTACCTTCCGGTAGCTGTAGTGCCTACATCAAAGTAGCTACCTGGATGTTTCAGTACGGCCTACTGTAGCGTACCCACCTGGAAGTTTGTGTACACCCTACTGTACGGTACCTACCTCAAAGTTTTCGTACGGCCTACTACCCTACGCTGGTTGGAAAGGCAGGCCTGCATGTCTACTAAGTTAGCAAGGTGGACCAGAGAGATTGACGAGTTCGACTTTGAACTACAACGCGTGAAGGGGAAGTACAATGTCGTCGGTGATGCTTGTCTAGAAGAAGAGATTTCGTTGGAATGATTAGCACTTACCTAGACACAGGAGAGTACTCGCAGCAGAAGATTAGGGGTAAGCTAAGAGTGCAGCCGCATGAGTGGCCTGAGTGTAGGATAGAAGGCGGATTACTGTTCCTCACAGCCAGTGGTGAATACAGGGTGTGTATACCCGGTAGTGAAGAAGTCAAGAGTATCATACTAGGAAAAGCTCATATGTTCCTACACATGGCCAGGGATGAAATCAGACTGCAATATGTATGTAAAGGAGTGTGAAGTATGTGAAAGGAACGAGAGTACGAGACAGGCCCCACTACCTTCTTCCCCCAAACATAACGCATATGTGTTGTAAACGAATACAACACATAGGGTGTGTTCTATTCGAATAGAACACACATGCCCTCTATTCGAATAGCCCTAAATTTTGAATACAACGCATATGCTTTCTATTCGAATTTCTTCAAATTCAAAAACTCGAATACAACACACATACGTTATGTTCGGGGGAAGGACTGTTAAGACCGCCACCTATTCCCTTTGGACGTGGCAAATCTGTATCCATGGACTTCGTGGATACTGAAGTCAAAAGCCGAAACAGGAATAGCCAAGTCATGGTCATCGTGGGCAGGTTTGTTCTTTGCCTGTAGAAGCTAGAACACAATCAGTGATCCGTAAGGTCTTTGCGCACTGGGTCAAGGATAATGGCCACCCCTTCACCACAGTCACTGATGGAGATGTGAGGTTCACAGGGAAGCAGTGACAGCAACTCATGAAAGTGAATGGTTCACAGTTGAGCACGTCCTCATGTAGACACCTGGAGACTAATCTCCATGACTGAACAGATGAATAAGCTGCTACCGCAAACTCTCCATTTGTGCATTAGACCAGATAAAATAGATTGGTATGAACAATTGCCAAACGTATCCAGTGCATATAGTAACTCCGTATATCTGTCAACTACCATCTTCACCCGAATAGAACGCCCGGTAATTATTGCCGTATCTGGCCTGAAAGTTGTGCCAAATACATCTATAATGACCAGCCCTTCTATTCAGGCGAAGACGGTAATGGGATTGCAATACCCCGCTCAATATCCTCTGAAATGGCCTAACGCCACACACAGGCCGTGACCCCGGTCTGAGGCCGCAAGGGCCAAAGGGAGGAAAACCCTTGGATTGGCCCAGGGCCTGTGCGCCCGACAGTTGACTTCGGTCAACTGCCCAGCGGCCCGAGAGTCAAAGTCTGCATGTACCCAGCGCAGGCCGCCAGTCAGACACACACACTTGTTTGTATGCAGGTAACAAGACATCATCAGGACCAAGTGGAAGTCTGCAACTGTACACAATCCAGGCCCTCGGCTGCGAGTCAATCTGAGCCACCGTGTGTGGGAGACCGGAGGCCGGTCAGCCCTGTGAAACATTACATTAGGCCTTACCTCCAGGGAGTCAACATTCAGTCTTGCTATGCTGCCTTGACGCTGGCTTGACGCTAGCTGGACGCTGGCTGGACGCAGGCTTGACGCTGGCTGTACGCTGGCACTGTGGACGATGCGAGACTGCTGCTGCACGCTGGCGCCTTTCTGCTTTGGCGCCAGCCTATGCTGACGTTGCGCAGAGCCACGCTGTCTTCAACATTGCTGATGTGGCACATGCCACTGTCTTCATTGCTGACATGGCATTTGCCACATTGTCTACATTGCTGAGTTGGATGCAACAAGGAGGGAGATCGGGATGTCTGGATGATTGAGAGGGAACGGGATACTTACGTGCGGTTGATGTCGATATTGTGCGCTGCTGATTGTCTCCAATGTCTTCACGAGAGAACTGTGCCATGTGGCACTTCGATGTGATCAGGATCTGTCAGGCTCATTACTGGATACTTTTTTGCTGACGTGGAGGAGAGGGGAAGCCCGGAGGAGGAGTGGGAACTGTTGGGCTACTCTCTTTGTGGTCATTGATGGTTACTATCTCTTCCACCTTCTAATCTGTCTATTCCTCCTCCACTCTCTTCGTCTACTGGAAACGAGACATTGTATCAGAGATCACATTCATGATTATTGGAGACATTTTTCAGAGTTGAGTTACTTTGTATTTCGACATCTGGCGAGTATCTTACAGACCGGGTTCATTACAATTTGGTATCGGAGAATACCTTCTTCGTCGTGATCTGCTGTCAGGTGCCACGTGGCGCCCAGGTAAGTGGGAGGTGCCGCGCGTGATAGGAGAGAATCGTGTTTATTAACGCGCACGATTATTAGCGTGAGTCTAGACATTGACTTCCAGGCGTGCATGGACGCTCCCTTGAAGATGACGGCGTGGACACTGTACATTGCTTACGTGGCGCTTTGTTGCTGATCTGGCAAGATACTGGCGAGAGCAACGTTGGCTACAGACTGATGTGGCATTGGTGAGAAAGAGAGAGTGGGTATCGAGGCTGCTGACGTGTCGTGCTGCCTACATGGCATAGCGCAGGGGTGCTGACGTGGCATCATAGGATTGGCAGGGCATTGTCTGATGTGGCAAGTACCTGTGTTGCAACTTACCTGCTGACTTGGTGCTCCACGCTCCACTGAACGCATGACCGAGGCAATCAGATGGAACTGGTGGTTCATACAGCGAGAGCGAGACGAGATTAAACGTCGGGACAGGCACAAATGGTTCATAGACAGCTATATGGACCTGTCTCAAACGGTCTCAGCAAAGTCTAGAAAGCATAGCCGCAGAACGCAAACACAGGAAAGAGGAACTACAAATTGTACTCGACATCGCAGAAACCAACCTAGCATCTGATCCCTCTAACTCCTACCACAACCTACTCCAATCTACCAAGGACGAACTAAATGAATGGAGAAGATGGGAACTCAGAGGCCTACACGCGCCCGAATGAATGACTACACCCTGAATGAATCGATGTCCAAATTCTTTTTCTCCAAGATCAAGGCCAACGCTAGGAACAACACAATGGAGGGGCTGAAGGACCCAGCAGACCAGGGGACGACAAAGTCAGCCGGCGCAGACATGGTAAGAATAGCCAAGTCCTTTTACGCCGACCTCTACGAGTCCAAACCCCCCTCTCCCCCTCCAACAACGAATATCAACGCCCGCCAGCACATGATGACCTACCTAGTGAGAAATATTACCAAAGAACAAATGGAGGACTTGGACAAACCAATCACCATAGGGGAACTTCACCCAGCCGTATCCCAGATTGGAAACGACAAAGCACCAGGAATTGATGGCCTGCCCAAAGAATTCTGGATCCAGTTCTGGCCAACACTGGGCAACGACCTCTTGAACTTCATCAATGACAGCAGGGAAAAGAGAGGCCTGGGTCACTTTCTAAGCACCAGCGTAGTGTCACTAATATACAAAAAGGGAGACAAGGAGGACCTCAAGAACTACATACCAATCTCACTTCTCACAACGCCGTACAAAATCCTAGCAAAAGCATTAGCCAACAGAATCATAAAACTAACAGCCAGTTGCTTTCACGTCGACCAAGCAGGATTCATCCCGGGTCGATACATTCTGGATAATGTGATGGCTCTAAACGAGGCGGCAAAGAAGATCACGGAAAAACGAATGCAAGCGGCGATCTTATTCTTCGACTTTGAAAAGGCGTACGATCAAGTCAATTGGGACTTCCTCCACAGCTGCATGGAGAAGATGGGAGTCGGCCGAGACTTCAGAGAATGGGTTAGAGTACTCAATTGGGATGCCACGGGCAGGGTGCAGATAAACAGAACACTGTCAAAAACCTACCCGATATCGAGATCCGTCCGGTAAGGCGACCCCCTTGCATCCCCAATATTCCTGTTCATAATGGAAGCCATCGCATCTTTCCTGTGCAAGGACCCATGCATAGACCACCTCACCTAACAAAACTACAACCCCCTCCACGACTTTGCTCTCCCCACTGCACAGATGTTCGCAGACGATCTCACGGTCCTCATCCGCGCTAACAACTCCTTCCAGGCCCTGGCCCGCGCCATGGAAGCCTTCAGACTCGCCTCAGAAATGAAGGTGAACTGGCTGAAAATAGAAGGGTGGTGCCTCGCAGAAGGCAACCCCCCCAACCCCCAGACCCATCCACCCCAATGTCTTGGACTACAGGCGACCAAGCACTTCGAAATCTAGGCATCATGGTAAACAGGGACGACATCTGGCAAGGGATGGGGGAGTCACTACTCGCCAGAGCAATAACCCGTTTAGCCACCTGCAACAAAGCCCAGGCCTCCCTACTAGGGAGAGCCCTGATTATCAACACAACAGTATTCTCCACCTTGTGGTACATGGCCTCCATATGGTGGCCCCCCGACGACGACCTGAAGAAGCTGAAGGTGAGAGCCAGGTGCTATCCGTGGACTGGCGACCCCAACAGAACCACCTGCATAAACAAGGTGGTCTGGCAAACTGTCATCAGGAAACCACAAGGAGGGCTAGGTATAATCAACCCTAAACCTAAACAGGAAATGATCGCCCTCCAAATCAAATGGATAATCAAAATCCTAACCAAACAAGCCCTCCCGTGGACCACGATGGCGATAGACAGCATAAGGAATTTGGCACCAGCAGCGACCCCACCGAACATGAGTGGCCTATTCTGGATCATGGCAAAGAAGTGGACAATCAAATCGGGGAGACCAGCAAGAAAAACTAACCCAGTGACCCCCATACAACACCCCACTACACCCACCCCCTACTGGTGTCCGATCCTGAAGACTGAAACGGTATTCACCTATCTGCAGTAGCCGATGCAGATCCAACGGCTCGATCCCTAGCCATCACCTTACCTGTGTACAGTATTTGTGTCGAACCCGAGAGTTGAACCCGTGACCTGTGTATTTGTAACAGTTGGTAGACTGTCGTAGGGTCCGTAGGTAGTAAGGGTTCGATCTGTAGACCTGTCGTGTAGGAGCCTTAGCAAAATCTAGAAGTCGTAGCTATAGCTCCTCCGAAGGGTCAAGGTTGTAGCTGCTACAGTCCTGAGGGGTCGAGGTCGTAGCTGCTACAGTATCGAAAGGCCAAGTCCACGGCCTTCCGGAAGGTCCTAGCAGTGGCCTTTCGATGTTGCTCACGTTTAGGCTGAGGCAAGTGGGCAAGTGGTGGAGTCTACCCGTGCTAAGTCAGCAGTCCCAGTCCCATTCAGTCCTAGTCCAGTCAAGCAAGTACAGCATGGGACTGTGGGCACCACGGGCATGGGAAAGGGCCAGTCCAGCGAGCTACAGAAGTATAAATCAAGAGGCAGCGCCCAGCCATTAATTAATTCCTGCGTAAGCCATGCGGAAGCGCTGCCACAGCGACTTGTGCGGGGTGGTCTGCAGTGAGCCCCAAGACGAAGTGGGCGAGAGAGAAGGAGCTTAGCCATAGCGATAGGGTAGCAGCGGCCATAGCCGCCATAGCTGTAGATTGAGTTCAGTGCGTGTGTGTGTGTGTGTGAACAGAGTATCGTGTGTGGGATATCCAGGGTGATCCTGTGTATGCGAACAGAGAGTTGTGTGGGCGCTGAGTTGCCATAGCCATCGAAGTGAACTTGTATCTGAAGTGCGTTCTTGGTTGCCATATCTCTGAGTTCTGAGTGGGCGCTTGTCGCCGGTTTGCTGCGCACCTGTTTGCATGCTTGTGAAGTGTGAAAGAGAGCGAGTCTGATTGCACTCCTCTTCTGCCCTGAAGCAATCTGGATATGGAAGAAGATCCGCGAGCTATGATCGATCCTGTTCTCTGCCCATATCTCTGAGTTCTGAGTGGGTGCTTGTCGCCGGTTTGCTGCGCACCTGTTTGCATGCTTGTGAAGTGTGAAAGAGAGCGAGTCTGATTGCACTCCTCTTCTGCCCTGAAGCAATCT